ATCGATTGACCAAGAGCGCCCACTTTATCCCGATTCAGGATAGCATCTCGGCCGAGAAACTGGCCGATATCTATATCAGGGAGGTGGTGGCACGGCACGGAGTGCCAGTTTTGGTGATTTCGGATAGGGATGTGCGGTTCACTTCCAGGTTTTGGAAGAAATTCCACGACGAGTTAGGTACTCGTCTGCATTTCAGCACCGCCTTTCACCCACATACAGATGGCCAGAGCGAGCGGACCATCCAGACTCTGGAGGACATGCTGCGGGCGTGTGTTTTAGACTTCGGTGGTAGCTGGGATACCTACCTTCCATTGGGGGAGTTCTCGTATAATAATAGCTATCATGCGAGTATCGACCGTCCTCCTTTCGAAATGTTATATGGGAGGAGGTGCAGGACCCCGATATGCTGGGGCGAAGTTGGTCAGAGGGTCATGGGGAGCACCGAAGTAGTGCTCAAGACGACAGACAAGATTCAACAGGTCCGGAGCAGGCTTCAGACTGCTCAGAGTCGGCAGAAAAGTTATGCCGATAAGCGTCGATCAGACCTGGAGTTCCAGGTCGGGGATAAGGTTCTCCTGAAAGTGTCGCCTTGGAAGGGCGTCATCCGATTCAGGAAACGGGGCAAGTTGGGTCCCAGGTATATTGGACCGTTTAGGGTTGTAGCCCGGGTGGGCAAGGTGGCATACCGGCTGGATCTGCCAGCCGAACTCAGTCAGATCCACAACACTTTCCACGTCTCCCAGCTGCGGAAGTGCCTGGTGGATAACTCAGCAGTGGTACCCTTGGAGGACATTCAGGTTGACGACAGCCTGAATTATATCGAGCGGCCTGTAGCGATCCTCGACCGGAAGTCGAAGGATCTGAGGAACAAGAGGGTTGAGCTGGTAAAGGTGCAATGGCAGCACCGGAAGGGCTCGGAATGGACATGTGAGCCGATGGATGAGATGATGGAGCATTACCCAGAGCTGTTCCAGGATCGAGCAGCAGACTTCGAGGACGAAGTCTAAAATAAGTGGGGGAGATTGTAACACCTGGTTCTTGGTACGTATTCTTTTATCAAATCTTTAAATGTTTAGCATTTTGGGTCTTGGACTCGGCGAGTTGAAGGGCCAACTCGCCGAGTAGAAGCGGGATGGGACGCGGGGTTTAAGTGATGTACTCGGCGAGTCGGGTCCCCGGACTCGGCGAGTAGACCCTGTTTGGACAAAAACCCTAATCCAGGGGTGTGCACCCTATTTAAACACCTTAACTCGGCCTCCTTCGTCCCATTTACTCCCAGAAGACCCCCATAGCAAACCCTAGCCGTTATTGAAGAGTTTTAAGGCATTTAGAGTGATCTTGGTGATTTTGTGGTTCAAGGAAGAAGGAAAAGCTTGAAGGATCAAGAGGAGGCTAGAGGGATTCAGTTGTGAGCATCATTTGCAGTCTTCAGAAGGTATAAAGTCTATACCTTGCTCTTTCATTTGTTAGATCCCTCTTTAGGAAGATTTAGGGCTTTTATGAGCCATTTTGGTAGCCAACCATGTTTGCAAACGTGGTTGGGGGTTTGAGCTTCTGAATGACATCATTCAAAGAGTCACTAGGCAGATTTGGGTTGCTTTTGCACCCATGAAAGGTTCTATGTGCCATATGAGCTTGTTTTATGTCCTTTTGAGCTCAAAGTCTCATGCAAGCACGTAAAGGTTGTAACTTTACGTGTTAGATCGATTGTAGAAGCTTGGATCTATCTTTTGATCAAAGGATGTACATCAGAAAGCAAAGATTTAGGGTATGGACGTGACCAACTCGGCGAGTCCACTATTGAACTCGGCGAGTCTAAGGGTTTTGCTCTTTCTGTTGAGGGTCAAAAGAACCCAGTTGAGTGTGGAAAGGTTTTAAGGGGGTCCCAGGGAGTGACCCAACGTTCTGGACTAAGCCATTGTGCTGGAAGTTCATGGGACTCGGCGAGTGCATGAACGGACTCGGCGAGTCCAAGGCAATCTCCTTAGAACTCGGCGAGTTGTTCATAAACTCGGCGAGTTGAGGACAGATCTCGTTCATCAGATAAAGGCCCACTCGACGAGTTGTTCATCAACTCGGCGAGTCGGATGAGTTTTCATGGGGCGTTCGAATGAGAGAAGAACTCGTCGAGTTGACGGCCCAACTCGACAAGTAGGGTCACGGATGAGGACGAGTAGAGAGTGAGGGACTCGGCGAGTGGACGGCCCAACTCGGCGAGTCGGGTCAACTGGAAATTGACTTTGACTTTGACTTTGACTTGACTTGGTTGGGGGTAAATGGTCATTTTACCCTAAGTATAGAGATCAGTTTCTAACTGAGTGTTTATGGGGTTTGTAGCCGGAGGATTTCCGGAGCAGCAGCGGACGGAGGTTTCCCGCACAGATTATCAGCAGCCACTTGTACGAGGTGAGTTACCTTCCAGTAGGGGTGGGTCTACGGCCACAATGCCGGCCCACCAATGAGGAGTATTTAGAAGATGATTGTCTTTGTGATATTCATCTTGGTATGGTTATGTGTTTGGTTATGAGTTATATCTGTATGATATGTTACGTGCATGGTAGGGATAGTTTCCCTGATAGTGGTCCTTAGGACCGAGGGGTAGGTCAGTACCCGGATATGCCTGACTGTATGCTTATATCTTGTATTGTATGTTAGTGGTAGGGGGTGGAATAGTCCCCAGTTACCGGTTGAAAGATACCGATGAATGGTTACCGGTTGAAAGATACCGAAGAATGGTTACCGGTTGAAAGATACCGATGAATGGTTACCGGTTGAAAGATACCGATGATATAGTATGGTATGTGGTATGATGGGGGAACTCACTAAGCTTTGTGCTTACGGTTTCAGTTTTGGTTTCAGGTACCTCTTCGTCTAAGGGGAAGGAGCCGGCGGCGTAGCATGGCATCACACACACACATGATTTTCCGCATGGTGTTCTCTGGGATTGTACTCTGATATGACATTTGTTTATGTTGTGGGTTTTAAACATGATACTTGGTTTTTTTGAGATGACGTGTTTATACAATATTTTCTAATAAATGTTTTATGAATTAATTAATCAAAAATGAAATTTTTGGGCTTGAATTTTGGGATGTTACACAAAGGGACCCAACAACCAACTTAATCCATTAAGACCTAACATAATCCAACTAGAGTATGCATGGACCATTTCTAAACATCAAGCAAGCCTTGTTTTGAACTAGAAACATCAAAAGAGGCAAGATCTATCACTCCAAGCTCTTGGAGTGGCTCAAACTCACAAGGAGAACTTAATACACCATAAAAACCCTTAATCTTGCCCTAAACTCAAACTTGCACAATAAGAAGTCAAGATGAGAACTTTATACCTTGATTGAGCTGGAAATGAAGCAAAAAGTCTGGATTTAAACGTCCTCCTTTGAACCACAAGCTAACACCAAACACCCTTTTCTTGGGAATGAGCAAGAACACACCAAAAAGCACACTTAGATCTCGCAAACACTCAAATGAGATTAGGGTTTCCTAAACGAGGCTAAAAGACAATGGTGGCTGAGAATGAAAGAGCCTTGAGCTCATAAAGATGATTAAATAGTGCCCAAACCCTAAAAATTAGGGTTTGGCACTCTGATCATTTCGCTGGGCGTACCCCCAACTTACGCTGGGCGTACTCACCCATGCACGTGCTTTCTTCCATGCACGCATGGGACTGAAACGCAAGCCTTTTCCAATAAGGACCATTTCTGCCAAAATCTTCAAAATGCCATAACTTCCTCATCTTAGGTCTGTTTCCAACGAATCGTATATCCACGGAAAGGTGGCGAGAAGCCCTACGCTTCTAACAACACACCCAAGACTTAAAACCCCCCGAACAAAACCCAAAATCCATAAAAGACCGAGTTATCAAATTACGATTATACTCTTGGCCTCCGAAGACACAATCGAACACTTGGATCACTTAAACCATAACACCCACACCCAAGAAGGTCCAAATTCTTTCTTTCCCAATGCCCTTCAACAAATAAGCTCATGATTAGTTACCGAGAAATAGATACGACCTGTAACATAAAAACTCATGGTTGCTTACCAGGATGACCATATGCAACCATGATGGGTTTAGCACTCCTGATGGCAGTGTTAGATACTCGATTCTACAAAGAAAAATCGACATATTAACATGCTTGGCAAATGAGGCCGCATCTAAAACCATAAAATCGTGGTTCAAAGAATAAAATTTTATAGAGAGAAATGGAATGGAGGATTACTGTGGTGGCGTTTAATAAATTGATCGTGATATTGAGAAAATGAATCATATCTTCATCACCATCGAGACCCAAAATTACCATTATTTCCATTGAGGGTACATTATTTTAACAAGAAATCAAATTAGGTCTATGGTAAGAAAAAAAGCAACATTCAGAGAAAGAATATTTTAGAAATTTTATCTGAGCCATAAAATCTTTTATTTATTATGTGTTCATATTCCTTGGAACTTTGTAAACGGAGAATATAAGATTCAAGGATTCAAATTTTGAAATTGAAATGACTAGATAAACTGAGTGTGGGTTTTAACGGGGGAATGTCGGAGATAACAACACGTGATTGAGGAATAAAGAAGGAAAGTCATTTAATTGATGGAAGAGTATCGTTTGATTATTTATGAAGCATTAATGTTTAATGTGATTAGTTTCTGAAACGGAAATGTAATATGTGTATTGAATGGTAAACATAAGTTGATTGTACATAGTAGGAGTGATACCTCTTAAAATTCAAAAAACATCTAAAATGCTTCAAAAAGTTTCAAAAAATATCTAAAATGTTTTATATAATAGTAAAGATAATTTTGCTTGAAATAAAACGGTAGTATTAAAAGCTTATTTTTATATAAATGAAAAAGATTTTGATTAGCCCGAAATAATTTATTCCGTTGGAAAGGAAACTATTTAAGAAATAAATAATAATTTTTACAGAAAAGAAAAGAAACTTAATTCTTTTTATAGCGACAAAGTCAACAAGAAATTGAAGAGCGGGTCCCACCAAATAAAGTAAATAAGTGATATTAGATATCAATGGCAATCCATTTTATGAACTATCCATTCATACACCTACACACCACTTCACCTGCAGCAATCCAACACCAACCACCATGGATCGAAACGAAGAAGATATGAAATTTGTTGGCTTCTTCGGCATCTTCAAACAATCATTCAAAACAATCTTCTCATGGAAGAAAATCTTCGCGCAAATCACTCTCACCTTAATCCTACCTCTCACAATCGTCTTCTTAGTTCACAGGGAAATCTCCCATCATTTATTCGGGCAAATCGAGTTCTTGAATATCGACAGCAATTCTCTCCTGCAGATTGAACCTAATGACAACGATAGAAGCCGAACAGGCGCCATGGATTGGCTCTACTACTGGCTATTCACAATCGCCTACTTCATCTTCCTCACCGTCTTCTCCATCCTCTCAACCGCCGCCGTCGTCTTCACCATCGCCTCCATCTACACCGACAGAGAAATCGTTTTCCGAAATGTCATGAAAATCGTTCCGAAGGTCTGGAAACGCCTTTTGGTCACTTTCTTATTCATATACCTGGCGCTCTTCATCTTCGACGTAATCGGTGGGGTGGCTCTGGTTATCTTCGGATCTATCTTTCACAATTCAATTTTTGGTGTAATCCTTTTGCTTATCTTCCTCATCTTATACATTATTGGTCTGTTATACCTGAGCTTTGTTTGTCAACTGGCTAGCGTCGTTACTGTTCTGGAAAACACTCATGGATCTAAAGCCATGAGGAAAGGTAAGGATCTGGCGAATGGGAAGAAGAAAGTGGGAATGGGAATTGCATTCGTGTTGTACGGATTTTTGCTCGGATTACTTATTGTGTATGAGCTGTTCGTGGAATACGGTGGAGAAAATTTGGGATTGGAGATGGTTTGGAGGGTGATGATCGGAATATTATGTGGGCTTTTGCTTTTGATGCTGTTCTTGCTCCTCATCGTGACCCAAACGATGCTTTATCTGGTCTGCAAATCTCATCACCGGGAAGTCATTGACAAGCTTAGTTTGTCGACGTTTTTAGGAGCTTACATGGGGGAGACGGTGGTGTATCCCGCCGCCGGCGAAGAAATCCAGCTTGGAAGACCTCAACATCAACAGGTTTAAAAGGAATTATTTGGTAGTACCTTTTGCATATATTATTGTACTTTAATGGTGTAACAAGGGAACTGGGTCGTAGCAATCAAGCTGTAAAAGTCGTGGCTATCTACTCAGATCTGATTCAGACTTTCTTTCATTAATTGCCTTGCCAAAAGTTATAAAGGGGTTTTAAAAAAGCAAATTGAGAATGACTTCGGTAACCAAAATTTTTGTTTACATTTAATTAATTAAATATTTTTTTAGATGATAATGGTATCTGAAGTTCTGAACACATTTTTATTAAATGGTCAATCATACATATAAAAAATTACCTAAATTTTAACAAAATAAAGATCAAAATAAAGAGTTCATTATCATTTGGAGTCATTTTTACAAAGATTTATTCAAATAAATATATTCTTCATATTATTCAAATAAATATATTCTTCATGTAGATATGGAAAACAAATCATTTATTCAAATAAGTATATTCTTCATGTAGATATGGAAAACAATAATCAAAGTTTCCTTATGTTTTAATTTGTTTAAGCTTTTAAAAGATAAATAATATTAAAAAAAAAAACATTGATGTTTTATGTGATGATGTATTATTATATTTAAGAAAAATTAAATTGATTCATATTTTATTCTCCGATCTTTTTATGATAATCCATTAATTCTTTTCCATCATTTTGTCTTTTGATTATTACAAGTGTCACAATCTAACAATATAGTAGTAGGAAAAATAAAAAGAATTTGTAGAAAGATATGTTTAAAAAATCTTCAAACAAAATGAAAAAGGCAGTCATTGTAAAGTCATTGCAACTGATATGGAGTATTTGGTGTTTGATGTGGTAATATACCATTTCTTTTCAAATGATGTGGGCTATTTATTACTTGTGGGAGATGTAATTAGAAAAGAAAAAATGAATTAAAAAGTAACTACTTGTGGGAGATGTAATTAGAAAAGAAAAAAATGAATTAAAAAGGTAACGAAGTATTAAAAATGTATAAAAAAGAACATTGTCCTTTTTTTGTATACAAAATACCACTAAAATATATTTTTTGTACACATAATATCAAGGAAGTACATATGTGTTCAAATAAAACCATTGTAGTAACAGGTTACCATAGGTAAACAAAAAAATGACTTAAAAATGTAACGAAGTTTCCAATATGTTAAAAAAATACCATTGTTTTTTCAGTATAAAAATACCTTTGAAGTATATCATTTGTACACAGAATACCAACGAAGTATACATTTTAGTACAAAAAATACCATTGTAGTTTCAAAAATGTTCAAAAAAAATATCATTGTTGTTTTTTCATAGTACTTTTTGTTAAATTCATTGCTCCCGGATTATATGGAATACGATCATCGAAGATTATTCATTGTCATACCAACTCACACCAGTTGTGTACTCTCTTTCATTCCCTCACTCGACCAGTTTTTATTTAAATACGATCATAGAAAAACACATAACTAAGAATCCATCAATTATGATGCAAACGTTCAAAAGTTCCAACGCATATGCTTCTTTCTCTACTTTGACTACAAATCCTCATCAAATCAGCCACATGATGTTGAGCACTAGTCCAGGAGAATAAACGCAACTCCTACTCTCTACATCCATATTTAGGAATTCTCATGACATAATGTCACACTCGTTTCTCATTTGTGTCTGCTTTGTGCCGCAACACTAATGAACGGCTAACCTTGATTTATAATATATGTATCTATATAACGAATATATCTTTTAAATTTTAGGTATATAATGTGATCGGGAAGCAAGAATGCTTAACTAAGATTATTACCCACTTACTTCTCATGTTACCACAAGAACGATCGAGTGAAGGAATGAAAGATACTGCATAACTGTTATGAACTGATATGTAACATCCCGAGAATTCAGGTATTTCTAAATTCATCCCTTGGTTTTTAATGTATGTTATTTTGGCCCTTGGATTGGACGGAAGTAGTCATGGAAAGCCCTAGTGGCAAGTTTGTAATTTTGGGGCTAAGAGGAGTACGCTAAGCGTACATGTGGGTACGCTGAGCGTACTCATGTCTGAAGGAAACCCTAAGTTTTAGGGTTTGTGGGGTATTTAAGCATCCTTATGACTCATTTATCCCCACCTTTTCAGCCCCCAAAGTCTTAGATCTGTTTGGGTATTTAAGCATCCTTATGGCTCATTTAAGCACCCTAGTACACTGGGTGTACTCATCTCATGTTTGGGTATTTTTATGTTTCTTTTTGGTCCCAAATGCTTCATCTTGAGCATGGCATGTCCTGGATGTTTTGAGTCATCCTTTCAGACCCTTGGAGGGGTCCTTAGTCATAAAAATGTGGTCCTAATGGCTAGAAGTGTCCCATGCATTTGGAAAAAGGGTCTTAATGGATTAAGACCTTGTATTAAGAACTTTTGGACGTGTAAAGTCATAAAGTTGGAGATTTTATGACTCTAGCGTGCATTTGGACCACGAATATGTAGTTTGGGTTTAAGTGTTTAAGCCATTAAGCACATAATGAGACTTTTGCATCTGCGACGGTACGCCTCGCGTAGTGGGGAGTACACCCTGCGTACTCGGTCAACCACCCTGATGTGGGTCAATGCGAGGCTCGGTGTACGCCCTGCGTACCGCAGGAGTACTCCCCACGTACGCCGTCTGTTGGATTTTGGAATTTGGGCTTCAAGTTTTGGGCCACCTTTTGGGCTTGAATGCTTGGGCCCTTATTGGACTATCTGAGTATGAGTGTTTTTGGTCAAGTGAAGGGTTGGACCTTAGGATAAGGCCCCAAAAGGAGTTTCGGCCCAATTTGGAAAATTGGGCAAATTATGGGTCTTGAATAATTTTGGGCTTTTTGGATCAAGAATTGGGCCTGGGTCTTGGCCCAATTAGGGAAAGGGTAAAGTGGTAATTTACCCTAAATATGGGTTATTAGTCAAGGATGGTAATCCAATTATTAATTGGATGTTTATTTTGTTGTGATAGTTCGGGGATTTTAGTGAGCCAGCAACTAGAGGTTTTGAGTGCGATTCGTCAGTGTGAGGTGAGTCTTCCTCACTGTACTTGCTGGTCGAAGTCACCAATGTCGGACCTTGGATTGATATCCTGTTATGCATGCTTTTGTACTGTTGAGATCTGCATCCTGGTAGATAGGATGATGTTATGCCATAGTTATCTGTTAGATCGGTATCCTGGTAGATAGATAATGCTATGCTTAGTGATCTGTAAGATCTATTTATTTGTTTGCTGGCTGGTTAATAGTATGTTGGCATTTCAACCCGATGGTTGAGGGGCCTAGGATATTCCAACCCGATGGTTGATTGGACCTATAGTATGTTGTTATTATATATGTGTTATTCGTTGTGTTGGCATTTTGGGGAACTCACTAAGATTTGGGCTTACCGTTTTGAGTTATGTTTCAGGTACCTCAGATGATTGTGGGAAGGCAAAGGCTTGATCGTGCACCTCCTCATGTTGTGTTTTTGTGATTTTTGGGAAAACTCTGATGTTAAACTTGTTTTGAAAACTAAGATGTAACAATTATGATTTTTGGGTTGGTTTGAAAAAAGTTTAAGTTTTATGAAATTTTATCGATGTTACATGGTATGACGGTGCATGATCTCCGGTGACCGTGTTCTAGATAATCCGACAACAACACAGTTAACAAAAAGTGCGGCATTTTTTGAACATTTTGGAAACTTCGTTACGCTTTTAAGTCGTTTTCCATTTACCTGAAGTACCTGGTTACCACAAGATTTTATTTGAACATATATGTATTTCGTTGGTATTGTGTGTACAAATAGTAAGTTTAATGGTATTTTTTGTACTAAAAAAACAAAAATGGTATTTTTTGAACATTTTAGAAACCGGGTAACCTGATGGTTACCTACAATAGTGTAACATCCATAAAATTTGAGCCAATTTAAAACTTTTTCAAATCATATAAAACCATTCAGTTATTACAGTTTGTTTTCAAAATAGTTTAAACATCAGAGTTCCCAGAAATCATAATCGTAAATCGAGGAAGTGTACGGTCACGCCTTCGCCTTCCCGCGGTCATCTGCTGAACCTGAAACAATAAACTGAAACTGTAAGCTCGAAAGCTTAGTGAGTTACCCCCAAAATACCAACCTCATACAACCTTAAAATATCATATAACAAACACAGAACGGTCATGCATCTCGAGTCTACAGTGTGACTGGTTCCGCCCGCACCGGGCCTTCAGTCCACCTGGTCCACTCTCTGAGTCTACAGTCTGACTGGACCGCCTGCGTCGGGCCTTCAGTTTATCTGGCCCACTCTCCGAGCCTCGGCACGTCTGGACCGCCCTATCGGGGCCTTCAGCCTATCCGGACCGCTCGTCGGGCCTTCGGCCTGACTATGTGCCCTCCTGGGCCTGCAGTCTATCCGATCCGCCCTGGGTATGTTGGCCTACAGCACGAAGCAGGACCCGCCTCAACCCAACCCCCATACCAATCAAAGAATCACGTGCACATAAATATCATATGCTAGCATGTATATAACAGATAATCATACCGATCTAACAGATCACTAACACAACAACCATCATATAACCAGGATACCGACCTAACCGGTCACTAACATAACTGTTGGGTTATGAGCATTCTAACACTCCTAAGTGTACATGCAACCCTAAATACCTTGGATCTATGTTTTCTCTATTATACATACAATTATGAACATCCAAGGTATTATCCTAATCTAGCATACAAAATAATAAATATAACAAGATAGAATACATACCTCTTTGATGTAGAATGTCTTCATGTAGCTTGAGTGCCTAGTGCCCCAAGTGTGACACCTCAAATGGTTCACACAACACCAAATACACTTGGAATAACTTGAGAGAAACTTGAACACTCCTTGAAATCGTTTAGCCCTCACACTCACACATTAGTGCACGATTTCTTGAGCCATGGGATTCTTTTATATGGTGGCTATTAGGGTTACACCATGTAACTCATAACTTTACCCATTCCTTATGCTCCATAGATTTTAACCTCCATGGAGTATCCATGGGTCACCCCATGGACTTAGTCCAACATAAGGAATCTTGGATCACAAGCCCACATATATAAGAATGAATGATTTACACAATCAACCCATATATTTAATTAGTCTCCTTTTGATCACTTAATTAATTCCAAATTAATTCTTGATCAATACTAATTAAATAACCTTATTAATATATTAGAACTTATAATATATTAACCAACCTTAAGTGTTATTTCTCTCATTATAGTCTATCCAAATGCATGATGCCATGCAACCCAATTGGACCATGCCGGGTCGGGTCAAGTCTTACCAATTATAGTTATGGACTTAGACATTAGTCCAACATAAGGAATCTTGGATCACAAGCCCACATATATAAGAATGAATGATTTACACAATCAACCCATATATTTAATTAGTCTCCTTTTGATCACTTAATTAATTCCAAATTAATTCTTGATCAATACTAATTAAATAACCTTATTAATATATTAGAACTTATAATATATTAACCAACCTTAAGTGTTATTTCTCTCATTATAGTCTATCCAAATGCATGATGCCATGCAACCCAAATGGACCATGCCGGGTCGGGTCAAGTCTTACCAATTATAGTTATGGACTTAGACATTAATCCAACAGTCTCCCACTTGGATAAGTCTAAAACTATTATTGCGTATGACTTCAGGAACCGATCAGCAATCGTAGCTCTCAAAAGCTTCTGTCGAATTCTGACCTTGTCGATGAACTCTGACCTTTGTCAATGACTTGTCCATTAGATAAGGGATCATATATTCCTCCATTCTAGATATCATATGGACTGAAACATGGATTATCAATCATTCTCTCTGTCCATTTGTTGTTTCCCGATTTCCGATTCATGATGACTGACTGATTGAACAAATCAAATCAGTCCTGGCTTGGCCAAGCACTCACATGTATCATCTTTAAATCATCGAGGGGCCCACAGATATCGCTTTTATCCCGAAGGTAAAAGGAATGGATAAACTTCGACTCATATGGCTTGTTCTACTACTTGTTGAATCATACACAAAGGCACGTTTTATAACATCGAGTTACCAATGCGTTTTCGTGCAATCAATGTATAACCAACTCATAGTAACAACTCATATCTCTAGGTTTGAAGAATATAAGATATTATCGTCTCATGATCACTCGTGGTAAAATCCATGAAGTGATTCAAATGAGCGCGGGTTGAATCCAATACTCAGAACTTATGAGCACTCATGAGTGTTGTAGCACCACTTTGTCCACCAACTTGGACCTCTACAAACCAACCCATGACATTCTTGATTCATATCTACTTCCAACATATGACCGACTGTGGATGGTTTGAATAACTTAATCATTCAGGAAGAGCGACTTAGTTATTCTGGAAGTCAAAACATGCAAAGTGAAACACAAGAATAAATGAATCAAATATGGTATCAAACCCTATGAATATAAATAAACACTTTTATTTATCACCATACTGATTACTCATTATTCATTGTTTCGGTTTTATCAACTTTATACTTGAATTTAAAACAATAGTTGTCCCATGCTCCAAGCATGTACACTATGTTTTCTAAACACTAGTCATGCCATACACCAAGTATGCATACTATGTTTGTCTATGATCTTTACTTTGTAAAATAGATCAATTGAACATCACTCCAATGATCCTCTTTTCACAGTCCCAAATCCTTACTGCAAATGCAAGAATTCCAAATTCATGCCATTTACTGAAATCTGTTAGATTCTAAACTTATATGCATTGATCCTCTTAATGTTATGCACAAAGTCAGAAAGACTTGACAACAATCATTACAGAGCATTCCAAAGGAGATCAGCTCCTTGGAAACATCCTTCTTTCATTAAGTTTCCTAATCTTACACAGATTGAATAATTTCTAACTTTGAAACATTTCCATATTCCATTTTGACTATCACTTCTGAACAAGAGTTGCCTCCTTACAGATTATGTCAATATGGTCCTTCCAGAATTAACATTATACTTCCAACTATCCTTGAGCAACCAATCTTTGGTAAACCTTAGATTGTCCTCGACAATTGCTTAATCATTTTAGTCATATCCAATTCTAGACCTTTTCCCTTCATAATGCCCCAGGCATTTGGAAAATTTTAGAAAGGATGAATATAGCACATGTAATCGATCCTATATCCGAAGCATATGGGACACGATTCATGATGTCTCACATAAAGACTAAACCAGTCTTTTGCTATAATATTTCCATTTCAATTTGCCAAGTTCTCAAAATTCAGATTATGAAAAGGGATGCCGTAATCATAATCGAATTTTAGAACGCAAATAATGGACCCATATATAGAATTTCCTTATGTTGAGCCATTCCAACATGAAATTCTATATATATATATATATATATATATATATATATATATCCTTGATTAAATACGATTAAAATCTCAATCTAAGCTTTTAGAATTGAAATGAAGTATAATTTCCTCTCCCTTAATTATAGCAAAACAACTTTTTCAACCCCTGCAACCTCACGAATTGAAACTTTTGTTTTCTATAATTAACATTGCTAACTTGCAACCTTTGTCATAATTATCATGCTCCCACTAACATGATGATTATTAGCATAACACTTATGCTCCCACTAGCTTTGACATGTACTCAGAAATCAGCTGACTTTCTTACCAAAGTTCAGATTTCTGATACTAGATTGTTTTATAAAACTTTATCAAAATCATACACCTCTCCTAGATAGCTCACATGTGTGTCTAAACAATTTTAGAACTATGAAAAGGGATGCCGTAATCATAGTCTCAATTGTTTAGACCTTTGCCACTTCTCACAAGTCCATGTTAGTGTGCCGGTAAACCACACACGCTCCACTAACGACTTTGAGAATGCAAATATCACAATTGCTATCTAGCTAAAATCTACTAGTGAAAGTGTTTCCTCACCATCATTTTCATGAATCGGAGAGAAACCTTATGACACTTAGATTTAATAGTGTATGTGTTCTTATCCATGTGAATTTGTCAAAACCATAATCACAAGACAAGGTTAGTGACAAATCCAAACTCATATTGATTAAACTTGTGCAATCTTAAATTCTTGCCATTTGGCAGCTTAGGTGCCTGCCATTGCTTCCAAGTAGTTGTGCAACCAATTGAGAACTCTCAGAACTCCTATGCAAAGCCAACTTGAATAGGCACAAAAATTTCAACACGATAGGTTATAAACCTCAAGTCGTGTGCTAGTGAAGGACTTTAGGTTTTATTCTTGATTAAGTCTTGAAACTTTCAAGAGCTTTAAGACTCCCACTGTCCTCTTGACATATAAGACTCCCTTGTCAAATATTCAAGAGATAGTGCAGATTCTTTATCAAGACTAACACTTTACACAATTGGCCTAAGTTGGTCTCTGTTTTATCCAAAACATCACAACTTACCAATTTCAAATGTACAAGAGTAGATAACCTTTTACTCTTACATTTGACTAGTGTTAACAAACCCTCTTTAAGATATGTCACTCAAGTTACAATCTTGGAGTATGACTCTAAGAATTGTTTTGGAACGAAGTATGACTCATCTTTTTGATTTAACCATTTCAACAATTCATGACTCCTCTTCTTAGTCATAAGAATGCACTAAGATGACTTTAGA